AGTCAGCGATACATGCTGGGATGTATATATATATATATATAATTATATACTTATATATATATATGTACATACATATCTACATATACATATACATGATGCCTTCTGACATGCATACCTACCTGCTTACCTGCCTACCATGGTCTGCCTGCCTACCTTTCTCCCTTCCTACCTACCTACCTACCTACCTACCGACCGACCTACCTACCTACCTACCTTCCTGCTTACTGACGTCAACCTATTTCCCGTATCTGCATGTATGTATATCTACTCTTACGTTCTTATCTCGAAATTACTCTGCACGTGTATTTGTGTATAGCAATATTTGAGTCTATCCAGGAGTCTATCCACCTATGCGTTTAGTCCATCCGTCTATATATCTACCGTTCTACCTATCCACCTATCTGTTTATGTGTCGATCGGTACATGTATGTATATATACATATACATAAACATATATATATATATGTATATATATATATATACATATATATATATAGGCACGCGTGCACACATGTGTACGTACGTAGGTATGCATATATGTACACGTGTGTATCTGTACTAATTACATATGTAGGTATGTACATGAGTAGTGCAAACTAGTATATGTGTGTTATACGTGTGTTATATGTGTAGTTCATGTGTTTCAAATGTGTATTCTATGAGTATTATATGTGTAGTAGATGTGTAGTGTATGTTTTAGTAAATATGTACAAATGTATATTATATAAACGTGTTTACGTATATTTGTATAATAGATGTATATATGTATGTAGGTATACAGGTGTGTAGTGTATAGGTGTATAGGTGTATATGTGTATATGTGCATGTGTTTTCTATGATTTTCTATGTATGTGTGTATGTATGTGTGTGTGTATGTATGTGTGTAGGCATGCATGCATGCATGCATGTATGCATGTATGTATGTATGTATGTACGCATGTATCTATACATGCTGTTATGTGTATATGTGTACATGTTTACATGTGTACATGGATGCATGTATACATGCACTCATACATATATGTACAGATGTGTCTATGTATATATGTCTCTATGTCTTTATGTGTGTATGTACATGTACATGTGTATACATGTGCGCATATCTGCATATATATATATATGCATATATGTATGTAGGCAAAATGTTTTACATCTCAGCATGTTTGTGGTTATGTGGATATGTAGTGCATGTAGTAGAGCAGGTATATAGATCTCTAGATATGTCGGTATGCATATATGTACATATGTTATTTACGCATGTACTTCTATCTATATGTGTAGGTATGTGTATACGGGTAGGTGTACGTGTAGGTGTAGGTTTAGATCTGTATTTATTTGTGTATGTAGGTATGTGCATACATGCCTGTGTATGTGTATTTGTATGCTTCCGTGTGTGTGTATGTGTATTTGAACAAAAATTTCTGTGAAAATACGTAGAAATGTATATACGCATGTATATGTATATGCATATGTACATGCATATGTATATGCATATGTATATGCATATGTATATGCATATGTATATGCATATGTATACGCATATGTATATGCATATGTATATGTATGTTCATGTTCTTCTAAATGTACATGTATATGTATATGTACATGTATACGAATATGCATATGAACATATATGTACACGTTATGCCTATATGTACATGTAGATGTATACATACATTTTTGTAAATGTGTGTGTAGATATGTGTATTTTTGCATTTGCTTGTGTATATCAATCTGTACATGTACACATATATAGGTATTGTTTATATGTACACATAAAAATACACATGTGCATGTACACGTGTACGCGTATGTGTACATGTATGTGTCTGTATATTTTTACTTTTTCGTATTCGTATATGTAGATGTATGTGTACCTGTATATGTATATACATGTGCAAATGTATGCATACAATGGTATATCTTTATATGAATATGTACATATGTCTATGGGTATAATTATGTGTGCTTGTATATGCTTACATAGGTTTTGTCTGTACATGTTTATGCGGTGCGCTGCACTTTGAGTTCATTGAACCTAGGATTTGGGCCCATGGAGGCTCTAATGACGGTCTTTGGGAAGTGTCTTTTCATGGTTTCCGCCAGACCAGGCAGAAGGATGCGCTGAATGACGCCCAGGATTTCCAAGCAGAGCAGCAGCTGGCATCCTTGGCGCAAGTCTTGGCAGGTCAGCTCAGCCGCCTGGAGGCCCAGGTTTCAGAGGACCCCGCAGTGAGAAAATCCCTGGGCCTCCTGCTTCGGGGCCATGGCATCTTGGACTTGGTGGTCAGTGCACTGTCAACTCCATCCTCATCGAACGACTCCGACGATGAAGACGGCGATGATGCCTGGCCCCTTGTTGTGCTGCAGGCCATGTGCGCAGTGTCCCCGGAGCTGCCGGGCGAGGGCGAGCTGCGAAAGCTTCTGGCATCCATTCCCAAGATGGTGGCTCAGCTCACCCGGCGCCCTCAGCTCACGCTGCAGTTGGTACGGTCATTGCTGAGACATCGCTTGAAACAGCGACTCTTCGTCGCTGACACGCTCGTGGAGTCTAGGGGCTTTCTAGCGCGCTGCCTGCGTTCCTGGGCCCGGACTTTGGACGATCGACTCGGCAGCGAGGGCCTGAGCCCAGATGATTTGCGGGCCGCTACGTCGGAGGTCCTGCAGGAACTGGCGGCACAGACACAGCGGTTGCACAACGCCGAGGCTTTGGCCTTGGCTTTGTTCGTGGAGGGCTTCATTGGGGAGCGCCTGGGCTCAGGGCTTTCTGGAGGCTTCGTCCTACACAGCGGCGCTGCTGTGCGCCGGGTAGTGCTGGCCTTGCTGAGTTCTTGGTCCGAGAACCCGAGGATCTTGCGATCGTTTTCTCCTGAGCTGGTGGGCAAGCTTTGGGCTTCCTGTGCCGCCAAACTGCGAAGAGATGCAGGTGTCGAGACTCACCGAGACATTCAAACCCCTTCTGGCACTGTGAAGATGGAGTGGTTCAAGCTGAAGCCCACGCAGACCCTCAAAAAGGGTTACGGAGCTTTTCATCCAGAAGAGCTGGCGGCGGCCGTTATGCGGTTCCTTGTCGCGCATCTACTAGCCACGTGCGACCGTGGGTGCGAGGAAATACCGCGAGAAGGCATCGCACCGAGGGCTCCAGCTGAGGAATGGGCACAGGACGTCTTGGACCGCCCGTTTGGCTGGGGTGTGCTCGTGCCTCTCGTGGTGGCCCCTGCGAACATTGCAGGAGAAGCGTTGCTCCTGTTAGAACTCTTGGTCCAGCGCCATCCTAACAACGACAAGGTGGCGAAACGATTGGCGGGTTTCCATGTTTTTATGCCACTGTTGCACCTTCCCTGGCCTCAAGCCAGCCCTGTGGAGAGCCACCTGAGAGCAACCTTGTCGGGGCCTTCCCAATGGCGAAGTGCGTGCAGCGTGCTGCAGTGTGCCATGGACACGGAGCTGGGGATGCGTGTTGCAAGAGACCACACAGACCTTTGCTTCGAAGGTGCCGTCCGTGTCTTGCACGAAGTGCTTGGTGACTCCGAGCCGCAGTCCGTCTTCGCGGCTACTGAGTTGTTTGGGCAGCTCTGCAGTCAGTTAGGTTGCTTCGAGAAGGTGACCACAGAGACGCTTTTCTGCCTTCTGCAGCACTTCGCTCGCAGCGATCATGCAGACACCAGGTCACAGATGGCGAAACTTCTACGGCTGATGTATGCCAACCAGTCCACCAAGGAGAAGTTGCGCGACAGCCTCAGCAGCAAAGAGCTCGGCCTCACCGGCGAGCAGCAGTCCCGTGTGATGCAGGAGGTGTTTGATGCGCGCACATTGGCCGGGCAGGTTGTGGGTGAGAAACTCGCCAAGGACGGGTGCAGGATCAAAAAACCATCCCAAACCCAAACACCGCAAGGCATAGATTTGGTTCGAAGGCGTGTTGACCGGTTTCCTGCTTCAGCGGCCGACCAATCTTCCCATAACACAGCCATCCCGAGAGGCCGCCAAAGATGCGGAGCGCCAACCGTTTTCTCCTGTGCCCGGTGTGGCCGAAGGCCTGGCGACTACTTTGCAGCCACTGCTGCATACTGAAGAGGCCAGCATGTCGGGCATTTCTGGGTTACACCGAGGTGGGGGCTTCACTCCATTTCTTGAGGACTTCGAGTATCTTATGACTAGGCCAGGCCGTTATGCGGCAGCTTGGTGTGTGCATGCGCTTATCAATCTGGTGGTTGTCTGCACAACACCGCCCCTCAGAGAGCGAGGCTTTAGCCGATTGATGGACTCCCTCGCCTGCACCCGACGTTCAGGGGGCCCGAGCTTTGTCTTTTTCAAGCGCGGAGGCGGCCTCGCTGCGGCTCCTGGTCCTGGGGCGCCTGGCTCGCACTGTGGCGCCGCAGCTGGCGCAGCAGGGCTGCCAGGCCGCTCCATCTTTGGGCTTGAATGAAGTCTCATGGTCTTGAGGCTTAGATCTAAATCCTCAAACCCAAAATCACGTAGCGTACATGACTTTAAACGCGCCGTCATGAGAGCTGAGAGCTTGAGGAGATCTTGGGATTTGTTGAGGTTCTTGGCTCTGTTACGTTTTGGGATGTGCAGTGGGCCGGTGGGTTACGTCGCAAGTCACAACTTCGGGCGCTTTGAGAAGCTTTGTCCCGGCCCGAAGCTTCAACGACCTTGGCCAGGTCGTTCTTGGCGAGACGTCTCTCGATCGCTTGAGTGGTGTGGGCAAAGGCCGGGCCTCAGTTTTGTCTAAGAATCCAAGTTAGGAGCGTAAAGAACCGTGCGGCAAGCAAAGACATGCCCCCCTTGTTTTTTGAAGCCAAGTCTTGAAGCCGAAACCTCAGTTCCCAGAGCTTGAGAGAAGGCGTGACAACGGTGTTGCTTCCGGTGCCCGAAGCCATCAGCGGCGATCCGTCACCTGGCTAGGTCGGGTTTGAGACTTTTCGCCTCAGGGCTTGGCTTTGAAGTGTCGAGGTTCAGGGTTTGCAGTGGTTTTAGACCCGGCTCGAGCCTCTAATTGGTGTCCTCCAGCATCTTCGCATCTTTCTAGTGGCTTTGGTCCAGTCTGTGGTTCCAGCGTGCGGACAACTTGCGCCTTGCGGGCAGGGTTGAGAAGAATCACAGTAGTCCCTGTGATGCTCTGACACAAAAGGCATCTGGCATCCCCAGATCTTTTCGATGTGGTGCTCGCCGTGGAGCCATTGGGATACCTGGACCTCGCCGAGTATGCCGACAAGCTGAGGCCCTATATCCGCAGGAGGGCAACAGAGGAAGATCGGACTCGGAATCAGGTGCAGATGATCTGCGTGGAGCTGCAAGATCGCTTGGAAGACGCACGGGACGAGCTCTACAGTGCAGGCTATTACTTGGCCGACAGCCATCCGTCCTTGCCAGGCCTCCGGAAGGCCATGGCGTCGAAAGCCAAAGGAGGCCATGGCCCCTTGGACGTTACTCTGTTAAGGTTGCCTTCCGCAGAGAAGGAGCGGAAGAAAGCCAGGGAGACTCAGGAGGCTCAGGAGCGAAAAGTCCAGCGGGAGGCCGAAGAAGTCGAAAAGGCAGAGCAGGAAGAGGAGGAGATGGTCCAGAAAACCGTCCTTCAGACCGCTCTCTTTGACCCTGTCCTAATGATCCCAGAAGCTGCGAGCCTGCCAGTTGCTGTGGAGTTAGGGCCCGGCCCGGGTGAAGCGGAGCAGCTGCTGCTTTGGCTCCCTGGCAACCAGGAGCCCCCCGAGCTCTGGCGCAGCGCACTCGCGTCGATCTCTCTGCAGTCGCTGCGCGTGCTTGTTGTTGGCCGGCCGCGAGATTCGACAAATTGGCACTCGTGGACGGACCAGGCCATCGTGGCGCAGGGAATGCAGTGGTATGAGATGCACGAGATGCCGACGGAAGAGGCCATCGCAAAGGCAGCCAAGGATCCTGCGACCAACGTCTCTTTCGGAAAGCCCAGCGTTCCAGAGCTGCGCTGTTTGGAACAGGTAGAGGTGGGCTGCAAGCAGCTCTACAACTTGCTGGAGAGAGAAGTGCAGGCTTCCGAGAGGGCACCGAAGGTCTGGGTTGGCGGCTTCTCCCAGGGAGGATCTGTCGCTGCTTACTCGGTCCTCTCGAAGACAGCGCCTGCCAAAGTTCAGGCCCAGATGGTTGGTGTCATCCTATGTGGCTGTGCGATACCAGCCTTCCAATTCCTAGCAAGCAAGATGCAGGACCAGTGCCTGAGGGCCCGGGATGTCGATCTGGATGCTCCAGTCCCACAGGTACAGGTGCTCCACTGCCAGGACGACCCGGAAGTGTCGAAGCACTATGCCCAGACGGTAGTCGACCTGTCTAATCGCTTCGAGTTCCCGGCACAGCTTCTAAGCTTCAAGACGGAGATTAGCGAGCACCTGCCGGGAGGTCCAAGGCCTCTGCCAGGCAGCCCAGAACGCTGGCTGCCGCCACTGCTCTCACGCGCCCTCACTGCCGTCAATGGCTAAACCCCTGCAGCCACAAGCAGTTGCACCATCTCTTCAGAGCTAGGAAGAAGCTGCATTGAGCTGCATTGAGTCTTGAACCGAAATGGTCTCTGACATGCCCGCCCTTGTACATATCTTGCCAGCCCACGAGGCACAGATGACTTCTACGAGATGAACAGTGGATGGGGCCCAAGTGCTGTTGCCGCTGCCGCCACCATTTCGCAAGTTCCGCATGTCAAGTTGCCGAAGCGCAACGACCCGATGCCTCCAAAATCTCAGCTTCCGGCTGTTGTACTTTTGCAGGTCTTGTTGCAATGGAGACGTCCTTGGTCATCCTGGACCAGAATGTTTGGGATAAGCCCGGAGCTTTGCATGCGCAGATCGTGGGCATATGTGGGCATAAAGATGGTGTCAAGTGCCTCGTTCACTGGTTCACGTTCTTGGGGCCCAGGGTGCTGGACTTCCCTCGCTTCAAGAGCATTCCGCACCTCGGCGGTCTTGCGGGGATGTGGAGTGCAGGCTTCAGGCTGAGGATTTGGGGGCATCAAATAAGTAGATACAGATAGTTGCTGCTAGTCTTGATGCCTTCTTCGTCGCATGTCAAGACCCAACTGTGCTACCTTGACCTTAGATCCGAGTTCTGGAGGACGGAATGCCTCTCTGCCTACAGGAACTTCATGCACCTCATGGCCGTGAATCGCTTGGCCAAGTCCTCCCCAGACTGGGTGGCATCCCCAGCTTTAGGGCCTCAGGAGGTCAGCAAGCACCCTCATAAATTCGAAGAAGCACCAGCCTTCTTTCGCAAGTCCTAAATAAACCTGGAACTGTTCATTGGGAGACTTGTGTCGCCTGAACAGGCTTCATGCTTCATGTGCTCCAAGCTGTAGTTCTTGGGAAGGTGCAGCGCTTCTCCCGCACCAACACGGGCACTTTCGCGGCTCAGTGGATGGTTGCCGACTATAACCAGTTCCGCCCTCAAAGTGGGAATGAGCGATGGCAACAGTGTCTAGTCTAGTTGGGGGATTGCCTGACGAGCAGCAGAATCAGCTGGATTTGCCTGCTTTGACTGCGCATTGTCACCTTGTCAAAGGTTCGAGAGCGGCAAGCCAGCTGCAGCCTGAGTCCCTTCCCCTCACCTGCCCATCATTTCTAGACTCCAAGTCAGAGCCACAATTTGCCCAATCCCGGGTGGTCGCCATCACCGACACGTGGTGTTTGTGCCCGCCTGCTCCTGCAGTTGCCCGATGGCATGTTCTGGGTCGTGGAGATGATCCCCGGAGTCTCGGAGATGCAGGCGGGGATCGCTTCTTCGGCGGGGCGGCGGCTGGGGATGTTCCGTCGGATGTCAACCTGTTCCCAGGACATGAGTGCCCATCTGCGCGAGCACAGGCCTGTCGGAAAGCCTGCGGTCCTCGTCACATGTATTGCAGATGTTTTCTGAGGCACAGGCCATGATCCTCACACGACATACAGTGGACTTTGTCACTGTCCTGGAGGGGTTTTTAGAGCTTCCGCATGACAATCACCGACCCCTTCATCCTGGTTGGGATTCTGCATTTAGTCTTGGCTCTTGGTGTCTTCGGTCTTGGGTCACCGGGTTCATGCTTCCAGATGATGCTTCGTCGCTATGAGAGGTCAGCCTCTCGGCAATCGGTGTAGACAGGAATTTCGGACAGGTATTGGGCATCCTTCAATCGACCCTTCTTCGGCAAGACCCGCGAGCTCTCCGGCCAAGGGCTCAAGAAGAGCCTTGTGCCAGACGGCAGCCTCACTCTTCCCTGAGCATGGTACAGTACGCTCAGGCTTCAGCATGGCCGAGAGGACACACGGCTCTCTTTACTCCTACCAGGTCGGGCTTCCGTTGCACCTTTCAGGCTTTACATGGTTGGTGCTTCAAGCAGCAAGTTAGCGATGTTTTTTAGTGTGAAGGGGCCCGGCAACTGCATGACAGCACATGAAAAAAGTCCCTTAGAAACAGCACAAGATTTTTTCCCCATGTGTGCGTACTGATGCTTGCAATCCGTGCCAGGGCAACCCCCGTGCCTACGCATTCAGCATGGTGGCACCGGCGATCAATGCAGCTTGACTGGGTTCGAAAGAAGAGATGCTAGGTGGAGGTACGGTAACATCGAGCCTAGTTGCAAGTGCTGCTAATTACCAGGCTCTGCCAGAGATGAGGGATGTCATGACCCAGAATGCGTGCCTTGGCTTTTGGGGCCCGGCTGTCAACAATCAGTTTCCTAATCGACACAAGGTATCCCTACGGGAGCCCGCCAAATGATCCTGGGCACCAGATTTCCGCACGCGGCGGCCCTGGCAACGGGAGCTGCGGCTTTGTCCACGGATGCTTGGGGCATTGGGGCCCGGGCCCGTTTTTTTGGCAGGGATGGACCTGAGCCCCATCCTGAAGCTACCGAATGGAGGCATCGATGCGAAGGCCTGTGTTCGGCAGAACTCTTGTGCACTCGGCACCGACCGCCCTCTTCGGAGTGCAGGGGTGCAGGAAGGGTCCATAGAAATGACCGGGGGGGGGTGTTTGTGTTGAGCAGCGCCTCCTTTGGCCCGGCCTGGGACACAGCAAAAGGGCCACTTCCAAACCCAAAAATCATTTGCTGTCGAATGCAGCATCGGGCATCCCTGTCCAAGACTTCAACATCATTGTCGTGCACGAGTTTGGCTCGAGCACACACGCCCTGTCTCGTCAGATCCCCCGACTTCGCACCATGGCTTTGCGCGCAGCCCTCGTTGCGCTTGTCTCGGCCGTGGCAGCTGCGGAGAAGTATGCCGTCATTGCGGCTGGCTCATCAGGATTCATGAACTACCGCCACCAAGCGGATGCTTGCCATGCCTACCAGCTCATGTTGCAGAGTGGAGTACCAGCAGACAACATCATCCTGATGATGCAGGACGATGTGGCGAACAGCTCGGAGAACCCGTTCCCTGGCCAGCTGTTCAACAAGCCGGGGGAGAACCCGCCCGATGTTTACAAGGGCTGCAAAGTCGACTACTCTGGGGACATCGTGACTGGAAAGCTGTTCATGGACGTTTTGACCGGAAACACGGAGGGTGCCAAGGGCAAAGTGCTGAAGAGTGGAGCCAGTGACACCGTGTTCGTGAACTTCGTGGACCATGGCGGTCCCGGCATCGTCGCCTTCCCGAACGGTCCAGTGCTCACGGTCAAAGAGCTCTCCCAGACGCTGAAGACCATGCAAAGCAAGCAGATGTTCAAGCAGATGGTCTTCTACATGGAAGCCTGTGAGAGCGGCTCCATGTTCCCAGACCTCAAGGCAAACGGCAGTTGTAAGTCGTATGCATTGTATAAACGAAATCATCTGTAAACACCATGAAAAGACCTAGAACACTCCTGATTCAACGCTTTTGGCTTTGGATGCGGGTGTCACACCATCACAACAACAAGAACAGGCCGACAGCAAGATCCTTGCAGTTACTGCTTCGAACGCGGATGAGTCTTCGTGGGG